GCTAGATATAAACAGGCCTCATTAGATAAATATCCGAAAACGCGTGACAGGTTAGACATAGGCAAAATACATCAAATGTAGGACTAGAAAACCACGACAGGTTACAGATAAAGCGGCGCTATTAGATATCAGGTCCGAAGAGCATAGCAGCTTAGACATAAGAAGAACATACAGATATAACATAAACAGGAGACGTCAGATGTAAGTTCAGGGGAATATAGTACGTCAAGCATAAACAGACCCTATTAGACATAAATCCAGGTGAACGTGGCGAACCAGGCATAAACAGAACATGACAGGTCAGACAAATAGGCCACATCAGGTGTAAATTCAGGAACACATGGTTGATCAGACAAACAGAACACATAGGACATAATATAACAGATAAACGCAACACGTTAAATATGCATTTACGAATCGCATAATGGATTAAGCACACACCTACCAGAATTTCACTTTCGAAACGTATGCCCAAAAAAAGTTCTGGATCAAACACACGCTTTTAAAAAATGTAAAAAGTTAGATCTAAACATACAAAAAAGGCGGGCCACAGGACATGATTGTACGAAGATCTTGGCAGACAAATGAACGCCCAGTAAAAACATAACAAATCATAGATAAATTTAATTGACGTTAAGCCGAAACAGCAAATATATAAAACAGAATATTTTAAATGGTAACGCAAAAAATTAGACACTAAACTATGTAAAAACTATGCAACGAATTAAGCAAATTCTCTCATATTAGCGAAGACGCAACGAATACGTATCCTTCAAAAAAAGTTACAGAAGAAGTGTAAATCAATGAGTGATTTGGTATAGGGAATACACGCACATACAAAAACGGATAACAAGCATACACTCTCGAAAAATGTGGAAGACTATAGGCGCGACGGTTTAGCATTCGCCTATGGAAGACGGTACACGTCATCAAAAAACGAAAAAGGACGTTATATATTGTACATAAAGCCTAGGAAAGCGTCATAGAGCACGCGTCTGCTAGAAGTCGTTATCGAATAGGTAGGAATTGGCAATTAATAGCATATTAATCCCCCGATATTGCTACAAGTTAGACCTTTAAACACGAAAGCTGAGATGGATAAGACATAAAAGTACGTTTAATTCGAAGAATCAGTCAGAGACCTACAGAAAGCACAGCAGGATCATGCGACAGATCAAACATATACCTAAAAAAAGCACTGCTTATTAGATATAAATCTGAAAAAAGACTTAATCTCAAAAAAGTGTCACCGGTTAGACATAGATATACTGAAAACAAAAAATCAGATCTTAAATTATGAACAGTCTCTAGAGTTGGACATACCATTAGACCATAACGATCAGACAAACCTTTGATTTATGCGAATCGAGACAAGGGTTAAAAATTTATGCAAACATAGGTGATGAGACATGTAACTATCAGAATATATGTAGGGTTTAAACTTTCGAGTTTATTCGGACCCTGACTACCTAGATTGGCAACCGCTACGCACTCGCAAGTCATCCCGTAATAGCTCCACACTGATTTTCTATGGATGATACACTTTTATTCTTTTAGGAGATCTATGACAAATGTGGCAGATAAAAAGTGCCACAGATGAAACTCCTGGAAAATTCGTCGACCCAAATACGGATTTATGAAAGCATAACATAATAGAGTTAAATAATTAAAAAATTCATAATACGATGGACTAAAACGCAACACAACAAGTGTACATTTACGTACGTAGTAGATCAGACTATGAGTCGTGAAATTCGGGACAGAACAGTCCTAGACAGGCGGAGAACAGAACAGAAGGCCATAAGGCACACGAAATTGTTCTTGAGGTATTTATTAATTAAACACAAGTTTATTTAAACGATATAAAATCAAAAAGATGAGACCTAGGAAAACGCAACAAGCTAGCCTGTCAAAACTGTGGCAGAAAAGCTAGCAAGTTTTGAACAGTTATAACTCCAATATGAACCTGAGAAAATCTTAGTATATATAACCTTAAGGAAGTTATAAGCAGAAGCTCATTTTCTACCAAAAGGAAAGAACAGAAATAGCTAGCGCTACGGATCATCTATACTTTAAAAAATATAATGGATCAGACAAAAATCAACATCAAAAGTGAAAAATCATATCTCAACTGATGGCAACTAAGAGAAGAGATTTAAGTCTGGGGAAATACCACAAGTCAAATTAACGGAAAATATGGCAGCCCTTTCACAAGACGCCTGAGACGGGCAATACAACCCTCAATTTGTAATTATGTAAAGTACGCTATGGACCAGGCGTATATCCACAAGGTATAACAAAGCAGGCTTAAACCTGCAACGAATACCGCAGGTTAAGTCTTAAATCTTGGGTTTACTGGCGCTGAGTAATCCAAGGCCTTATAAAGAAGAATACTCCGATACTACCAGACATACACACACGACAAATAGGACCACGAATACACCCACGAAGTTATTCGAAACATTTGCTACCACCTCCTTGACATATACCCACAACCGGCAAACATCGATTCACGAAGAATACATCGACAGGCATACGTAAAATTTTATCTCAAATGCAGAGCAAACAACTGCATATTTACGGACGGTATATACAAAACGATGACATACACCCGCGAAAAGTACGACGGATCCGACGACGACAAACGCGACAGCTCCAATATAAAGCATAGGCGATATTAAAGATGGATAATCCGATAGGTACGCGCGCATCGTGCACGCATACTCGACAGAGAGTACATGAACTTCGAAAAAACGGAGCTAGAGAGAAGTGAAAAGTTTATTGGTTATAACCCTATTTAGCATAGCTAAACTTGTACAGATTGGAACTGCAAAGACAGAAACCCACTAGCGAGTACCGATCTCAGTGACTATGCAAATTAACTGGCCAAAGTTTACGAGAAACCGTAGATCAAAAAAACATAGCGAAACAAAGAACTTCACTGTGTAAAATAAGCGGACACAAAATATGGCAATCAATGAAAATGGGTCAAATGCAACGGCCTATACCTAAACCTAAATTGGAAGATATGCTGGCATACGTATAAATCGCCAGATAAGAACATACTATGATTGATATAGCAGAGGTATGCCCGTATAAAGTATGACCGATCAAACTCAGATTCTACTGACGTATTATACCTACTGATAAGGTTTGCCACACATTAGCCCACAACATGACAGATTAGACATATGTACATGCAATGCGAGCGAGTAGATACACGTAAACACCGATATCGCACATAAACTCTCAAGGAGGTCGATTGATTAGACATATTAATGCTTGATACAGGGCCACGGAGAACGCAATAGAGCGAATGTAACCCATGGATGTCGCATATAGCATAAAAACGTTCTAACAACTAAAACATGTGAAGCTTCATAGGTATGCGGTAGAGTTGACATGTCGCACATAAATTGATCGGTAGTTCTAGGGAATATGAACTCAGGCGTATGGCGGATGAAGAGACTTAATCTCATCAAGGATGATTCAAAACATGAGTAAAAAGGCGCATAACATCATCGTACACATGAATTGTACAGGACTATAAAAAACACGACATGACAGATGACGAAAACCGACTTATTTCAAATCAAAAAATAGTTCGATAATAATATTGAATCTCATAGTAGAAAGATGAGTCGATCATAGACTAAATAACATGAGTTGTACGTTTCACGTTCACGAGAAGTTTGACAAACACGCAAAAAACCATTACGTACACGAATGATTGAAGAAATATGAACCGAAACACAGCGCAACTTATCAGAAAGTTAGATCAAATATTAGTGTCATGTTGCACACAGATTAGAAAATTCCCGTTAGTTTGTTAGCCAGCTTAATTTATTATAAATAAATTTTTTTAATTCTTTTATAAAAAGTAATATTTCTTGCTTCCTGCAGCTGATATATACCGCGAAGGAGAAAGGCCTTGTCTTTCGAAATAATCCATTCGTCGACTCCCTTGCGAATTTCGGCCAGGACAGCAAAAACTTTGTTAAAACAAAGTTTTTGCTGTCCTGGCTGTATTGCGTTGGTTAAAACAAGTGTTGTCCAACTAGAGCAATGTCCGGCCTGTACGCCGAATGCGGCGAATTTTTTCCATTGGCGGTCCGTTTGCGCTCGCTCAACAACCGAAGTAGTATTCAACGAAGCTTTGTCATGAAGCTGTACCACTTCGCGTTACCCTTTGCCAGTCCAAGACGTTCTATTAATTTCGAAAATTTAATTTTTCCCGCTTCTTGCGAGCGATTGACAGCAATCGCTTGGCTTACACCTAACTGTGCACGCAGCTCTCGAGTCGACTGCTCTGAATTTTGGCCGAGGTATGGCTGCAGTTCGCCATCGTTCTGTGGTCCTCCGAGGCGTGAGCTGCCGTTTAAGTTAAAACCTCCAGTTCGGAAGTGATTAACTCAAAAGTAGCAAGTGGCAATGCCAACTACACACATGTCTGCAACTGTGCAACCAATTATTTTTCTCTAGGCAGCATTTTTGCATAGGGGAAATAGCGAAGAGGGCAATATCGTATGTGCATCTGCTCGAGTCCCCGAATCACTAGTTTTAGCGATAACATTTTAATAAAAACAAGAGAATCCACGCCCGGCAGTTAAATCAATCGGTCTGAAAAGTTGGCCGATCCGACTATAGCGCCATCTATCGGTTTTAGTGGAAACTTTCTAAACAGTTTAGTAAACTTATACAAGACACTACAAATCGGAGGTCGGGCATGCATTTACGCAGAGACTGGGCCTTCATGTATTCACGACTGACATGACAGATGAGATATACATCTTAAAATTGTGCCACTGTAAACAAAGTCTCGAAGCATGCAACGAACCAGAAAACATATACAAACACTGCAAAATTACACATATACTCAAAACAGTAATGAGGTCGAACCTCAGTGAAATATCAAAATTTATTAATAATACATTTTGAATAAAAAATGAAATTAGTAGGCAAAGCAGCAAAGGTATAGGTACGTGAGTAATTTGACAGACCTGACAAGGTTTTTTAGCCGGAGACTGACTCTTAGGCTCTTCTCCCAGTATACTGAATCAGTCCAGACCTGAACCGTGAAATCTGAGAGGGCCTGGGAGGGGGTATCGGTCGAAGGGCAAGCTTACGATACGGAACGTCAGCGCCGATGTGAAACACAATACACTATATTAATTTTTACCGATTGATGGCGATCAAGTGTCTTGCATCGGTGACGTATAAATCCACAATGTGTGTGCCCTTTACGAACAAAGAGACGTGTCCGTTTGCCGCAATGATTTCAGTCATCGCCACTAGCAGCTCTTTGTTGTTTTCTGGCATAAACTCACAGGAAACACTCTATATTAAGCAAACATCCACATGCAGTATTAAGCAGCGGACATAAAGGTACGAATTATGCGATTGAGATGATATGGACTTAGAAGCAATGCGGCTTAATAAACGAGAGTCTGCTAACAAAGCTGCCTAGCCGAGTTTACCTTTCACTAAACAGTACTAAACAGACAAAATTCTGAGAAACATTTGTTAGATCAGACAATACATTCATTGCAAATAGTTCAGAGCAGATAGAAGTGCAGGACAACGTCCCGTCCTAATATAATATGTACACAACACCTGAATTTACAGACAACACGACAGATCAAACGTAAGTTGACAAAGTTTATACGAATCTATAGAAACGGTAGCACATCAGGTATATGCTTTGACTAATACGACAGATTGCACATGAACTCTGGCAGATTGTAACAAATTAGTTTATTATCTACACAGCAAATGAGAAACGGGTCCATGGAATGAGTCTACAGGGCTAATATAAACAAGCACAAAGTACAATTTAAAATACTGTAGATTAAATTCATTGAAAGTTCGGCATCAACCAAAACCAAGCGCCGAATATATACCAATCGACGAGTTGAGAAAGCAAAAAATAATCCACAACCAATAGCTACAAATTCAAAGAAAAAACGCCACAATAGGAACTGTTTTAAAAAAGCTTTAAAGATTGAACTGCTCACTCGCACCTAATGGACGAAGCAACTATATCAGAGGTGATATACCTACAGACATCGTTCCATAACAAGTATAAATCAACCAAAGGTATCAGATAAAAGATTTAAGATCAAACTACGAAATGTGCCGCAAGGAAAAAAGAACCCATAAGTGGGCCTAGAAACCAGAACATAAATGACATTTTAATGGTTAATTAATCCATAAACGCTACGATAGAATAAACTGGATGTTGAGTCAGCTTCGCGTACTCAGATTCATTGACAGTGACAAACAGACAAAGCCGCTCACACTATGTTTCTCATCAGTTACTGAGAGATGCAGAACGAGCAAATGCCGTTAATTATGAGAAGAGACCAAACAGATTAATCAACATGTATCAAAGCAAATTCAAGTTAACTTACAATCTGAAAGAACGCTCGTTAACATACACACAATGCCAAAGCGTACGTGAACTTCTTGGAAGTAACATAGCCTTGATCAGAGCAAATTAATCTGAACAATAATGATAAATCAGGATTAGTAGGACAATATTTAAGAAAATAATAACAATAGGCTAAGAAATATACCAACCTAGAAAATTCCAAGAATTGAGGAACAAACGACTACACAATGTGAAAATATAAGCCCAGAACTTCATCCTCATTGCGAAAATTGATATAAACCCATATGCAACGTTAAAATAAACACACGGGCACCCAAAAGCGCAAGAGAAATATATACAATAATAATATCTGTGTTCACCGTTACTACCCAGCAGGCACAAAAGCAACTAGCTCGGACTTCAAGTAACAGACTAAGCACGAGCGTCAGAGGATTTATATATAATACAACGGGTCCAATAGGTGCACCCAAAAATCTGGTCAGATAGACATTAATAAAGGCAAAATAGAAAAATCTGGCAGATGAAAAGTAAGCTCTTTGGCAGAATTAGTGTTCAAAACTGCGCCCGAGAAGCAAACGCACCACACGCAGAACATAACATATAAGACTTATACACACTTGAACTATAACAGGAAAGGTAGTAAACCTGTTGTCAGTTACGTACCCCCAAAAAAATATGCTCGAGCAGCCTCAAGTATAAATAACCTCAAGTAATCCCTGTCCTTGATACCTCAATATGTATAACCGTAATTAAAACTCTACGCTGCAGACCAGAAACACCTTCCACATAAGTACGGCAAATGAGGCGCATGCCCGAAACGTACAACAGGTAAAACATACCCATAAAAAGACATCACCACGTAGAAATTTTAGTCCACAAGAAGTATAACAGTTAAAACCTAGAAAACGGAGGTAGAATATACCAATAAAAAATAGGCATAAACCATAGAAAAATTAGACAAAAAGAGATAATATCCACCAAGAGAGAAAAACACAAAAAAAATATTATTGAATAGTAAGGACCGAAAATTCCGGCTAGGCGCAACCTCATGAAGTATCAAATTAATTTGTTCGCTTTTGCTGGCCGTATTTACAGTTTATATATGCTAGCCAACAATGCAATATATAAAGAACCAAAAGAATATTTTACGTTATGTAGATGATACAAGTCATGTTTTGTTTACAAAATTAATTTGAGAGGTTTGCCAGCTGTCTTAAAGGTGGTACCAGGGGCAACGAGCGGCATGATATATATCAAAAGAGGGAAAAGGCTTTAACGTAATTCAGTTTTCAAGGATTCTTCACTGCAAAATCTTTCGAACCGAAACCGCATTCCTACATTATGAAAAATATGGCAGGTTAGATGTAAATCAACGACAATAAACAACTTAGATGAATTTATGGATATATCATAGATTTTACATGAACTTATAAAGATACGATGCTTAACACCAACTCAAAGGAAATTTGAGGGATCCAACAATCACACACGAGACCATACATTTAAATACATAAACCATAAAAAATGCGACAGATGAGAGATAACCTACGAAAAATATGACGAACTAGGTATTATTCAACAAGAAATAGATATACTCACACGGTACATCATAACTTTTATAGAAATTAGTTAAAGTGATCACATCAGAAATAAAAATATGACACATTAACTTTATAAATTACTAATACATCTATAAAAATGTGACAGATTAAGCACAAATTAAGAAAAAAAATTTAAGAAGTTCCAGTCGATCGACAAACAAAGATCAACAGCATTAGCTTACGGAAAATATGATAAATCTTAGGAAAAGAAACACACAAAACATATGGCATAGCATTTGTGAATAATGGTGCAAATATAGGTAATGATCAATTAGACAAACTTTTATTAAAGTTACAACAAGCGACGATAGCTAAGATTCACGTATTAGAAGTGTGACGACATTACGTTTCGTGGAGCATCTTGCATATGAAAAGTGCAAAGTGCCCACAAAACCCACGAAAAATGACACAGGCAACGTAAAAAATATAATGGATTATGTACACACAAGAATATTAGACTGTTACACGCAAATTAAATAGCTTTTGAACTAGGTAGGTTAGGATGACGACCTTTGCTATACGTTTCAATATTACAATCTCCGTTCCTGAAACATTCTCATCATTCACGTACTATGCTTTTGCTTAGGGCTTCTTTGCCTAATGTCTTTAATTAATTTTCGCAGCACTGCCGTCTTCGAACAAAAATCTAACCACAGTGCTGACTTTAAAGCCTAAAAGATATTTTTCCTTTTAAGCTCATTTCTCCTGGAGTAAACTAGATTGGTTTTTACTTACCGAGCTTCCAATAGACTCGAGTATTTTTGTTATAGATCAGATGCATACACACAAAAAGTAATGAAACAAACACACGAAAAATAGGCCACATCAGAGACTAATTTACAAACCTTGGAACAAGTCGAACACAACTCGAAACGAAAAAAACGGCAAGCCATATTAGCACCGGAAATATATGACAAAGCAGACATAATCCCTTAAAAATGCGACATATAAAGCGCAAGCCTACAAAAATACAATGGACCAGGCACTACCTACAACCTATATAACAAATGGGACGTAACACTCACCAGAAGCGCGGCCAATAAGAAACTAAGTAGCAAAAAAAGCGAGAGCTTGAACGAAAGTCTATTGAAAACGGCATAAGTCAAGCATAAGTATACAAGCACTACGAAAACTAACACGAACTTGTGAAGAGTACCACAGGCCATATATAAGAACCTATAAAAATACAGTATACTACATGTTAAACCGTAAAAACAAAATAGATCAGATATCACTCACAAAAAAAACGACAGAGTGGATACAATCCTACTCAAAGTACGGATGAACTGACATAAGCTCAACAAGATATGACAAACTAGATGTATCCTTAAACAAAATATAACAGATTAGAACTAGGCCATAAAAATACATCCACCAACAAGATATTAGATTGGTCCACAAGAAATACGTCCCGAATATGCTAACTCACAAAATACGACCAATCCGGTATTAGCCAATGAAGATTGCAACAGATCGAATATAATTCATAAAAAATATGATCGATATAAGGCACGTATATAAGGAAACGTACGACAGAACAGAAATAATCCACAACAAATACAATAAACTATATATAGGGTCACGAAAAATATAACCGGGCAAGCATGATTCCTAAAGAAATGCAACATATCAGATCTAGACCTATAGACAGCACGACAGGTTAGACAGCTGGTTAAAAATACGATATTTCAGGCATAGACAAACAAAAAAACGATATTATATGTACTTTACTTAAGATATGATCAAAAAAAACCTTCTATCTTACGTATGAGTTCAAGAAAATAAGAGTAGACACACATTTAAAAGGACACGACACATTAGACACTGACGCATAAAAAATACCAAGAACCGACAAAATATAGTAAAAACTTACAACAATTTTAACATATTAGACTTACAAAAAATACGATAGTTTTTAGTTAGCAAAAACGTATGAAGAAGACATCAGAATAAATATAGATATATTGAAGATATAGTGTGCTCATAGAGAGTGTAACATACCAGATAAAAACGTGTGAAAAGTTCAAAACAAAAAATACCACCTAGGCATAAATCCATAAGCACTGGAATATAACCGTACGAATTATGTCTCTATGACTGCATAAGTGCAAGGCGATTGGGTGTGAAGCGCTCCTTATTGTCGGTTAACGGTAAAAACGGTCCAGTTTGCTTTAATATGTAACGCCATAATGCAAAATTACAAAGACAAGTTGAATTCAACAACTGCGCAATTTTCGTCGTATAAATCGCCGCTTGCTCTGGCCTCGCATAGCGAGTTTTTC